AACGACGTTTACTGAAGCGAAATGACATTAAGGAACATGAAAATGTCTCTAATTTGAAAAGATCAAGAGCTGTCCAATATCCTGATCTTGAAAACGCAATGTACGAATGAATAACATTTATTACTATTTAGTCAACCAATAAACTCTGTTCTATTACGAAGAATGATGGTCTGTCTGGTAAAGTAATTGTTTTGAACTAAACACCATCCATGTTGTATTATAATCCAATATATTAAAAATCTTAAATTTTTCGCAACAAAAATTATAGTGCTTGACTAATATTGTGGTTTATTATTTGAAAGCCACTCTTTTCCTGTATTAATAATTTGGAAAAATTTTATTAAAAAGACGATCAATTTTAATGTACATATCTGTACGTTATATAGGATGTATACGAGACGCAAAGAGAGCATGTGATGGTGATAGTTAGTTAATGTGTGCTGTTAACGATTGTCGAGTCATGTGCAACCAATAAAATGCTGACATTCCCAAGGACAAAGTTTTCAAAAAAAATTTTTTTAAGAATCGATAGAAGCTTTTTATTTGGGGGTAATCATGGCTCAAGCAAACTTACAAGATCTTCTTTCCAAAGTCAATGTGACGGCCGCTTTAGATATCGAGGGGAACGTTCCCTTGCAAAGCGTTCAGCTTGATGGACTGGTAAACTATTTTTCTTCTGACAAAAACTGGCGGCCCCACCCAAACTATTGAAATCTTTTTTTTTTCTCGCTAAACGCAAACACCAAATACTAATCATACTAATTTTATAACTTTTTGTCCTAAAACGTAGGTAGTATTAAAAATAATCAAACACTGTCGAGAGTTTTTTCCGAATTCCGTTACTGGCCAACTCCTTGGTCTTGACATGGCCGGAGTGTTGGAAATAACAAATTGCTTTCCATTTCCTGGATCGAAACCTGACGATGAGAACGAACAACTCGATGGTCAGTTGGTTGATATCATGATAAATTGATTACACCCCTCCCCCTTTTTCATTGACTTTCAATTTGTTGTCGTGTTATTGATTTAGGTGCCCACTACCAAGCTGAGATGATGAGGTGTCTGAGAGATATTAATGTAGATCACAATACTGTTGGGTGGTATCAGTCTACTTATCTTGGGCCATTCGTTACTCATAAGTTAATCGAAACACAGTATAACTACCAGCAAACATTAAACAATCAGAGCGTCGTGATTGTCCACGGTGAGGTTTGTTGCAAAGGCTAAGCCAACTAACATTACTTATTATTAGCAGTTGTTCTGACGTTCTCCTTTGTTGTGTCATTGATAAATCAGATGTATCCAGGTCAACTCATGGTAATATCTCATTACGAGCATTCAGATTAACTCAAGCATTTATGGAGGCACAGAAGGAAGGAAAATTCAGCAGCGAATCGCTTATAAAGAACAAGCTTACATTTTCAAATATATTGGAAGAGCTGCCAATTACAATCAAAAACTCTCACCTCGTGACTGCGCTGCTATACTCTCTGGATGAAGTTCCACCAGTGCCCAAGAATCTCGATGCCATTGAAGGTCCACTTAGACCCAACTTTGATACATTAGAGTTGAGTCTCGATCCCTATATCGAGAAAAATTTAGAGTTTCTACTCGAAGCGGTAGACGAGAATTCGCAGGAACAGAGCAATTTCGCATTCTGGCAAAGAAGCTTGGCGAGGGAACAAGCTAGATTACAAGGGGCTCTACAAAGAAGGGTACGTATTAGAATTCTGTGACCAAATTAGTCGTGTCTTGACAAGGAGTTAACGAATGCTCTCTTGTCATTCAATTTGGATTTAGAAACAAGAAAATATTCAGCGCCAAGCAGCCGGACAAGATCCGCTTCCCGAAGACGATATAATAAGACAATTTAAACTACCACCGGAACCTCCCAGACTTGATTCCTTGTTAATAACATCACAAATTAATAGTTATTGTAAACAATTAAACCAATACGCCGGGCCCACGTTGGGGAAACTGTTTGTAGTTAATGAGTTACAAAAGTAAAAGTATTCTTTATTTATACGGTATATCTTTTGGAAGAGAATGTGGTAATATGGTGATTGGCGGGGGTTGCATGTTTTGCATATTGGAGGTTGGATATTTTATCTTTGGCTCTTAAACAATTTTCAAGACGGTTTGGGAGCTAAGATGTATGGGATTGTTTTAACGATTTACGGAGTGATCCAAAGGATTACAGCTTAGTTTAGATAAATTACATTGTTTTGACATTCAAACATAGAAAAGATGTGATCATCACTGCGAGACAGACGGTCTTGTTTCGAGTGATGATTATTTGAAAATGTTGAACGAACGACAATATTTGCGTACATAATAACCAAATAGTGGCCGTTTGCTTGGGGGTGTGTCGCTGATGTAGTTAGTAACATGTTTGATCTTCCACTTTTTCATAGCTTCGGCCCATGTATAGTAACGACATGACATCGCATCACTTCTCGTGTTGGTAAGGAATTATAATATATTGATCGTAATAATTCCTATTTTATGTTCTCTCTGCCCTTCGGCTAGCTCGTGCTGTAAGCCACACAAGCCACATGTACTATTGGACATCAAAAAAGGAGCCGTAGAATTATACAAAGTATGTCTTTCAGTTCTATGATGAATAACAAGCGAGCAATATTATTCGCTTTAAGATTGTCACCTATATAGTATTATTCAAATTGCTTTGTTAAACATAACATTATTCGCTATATAGATGATTTTACATTCAGGAAAATTTAGTTGTTTATCATAATTATTATCAATTGTGGAGGATTTGCTTGCTTATTATGTTAATACGTCCGCTGCAATTAATAATCGAGCTATGCTTTTTACGACCTTCTTTCGAATGATTTAAGCTATTAATCTCAAATACAAAAAAGAAATACTAATAAAATAAAATAAATTAATAAAATAAAATTAAATTATTCAACTCAACGCGCGCGCAAGGAGGCAAACAAACAATTTACCTTCATTGGTCCAAACTGGAGACCGGCTTAAACCCAATTCGTGTACAGAAGGCATCACCGATGGACATTGCTGTTATGGGTCCATGTCTTATACTGATTTAGATCGAAGAAGGCTTCACTGGTGAAAAAGCAATGCCTCCTTGTTGAAAACTTCAAACGCTTGCTCTATACATCCTCTCCGGAACTCAGAGGCAGCCACATTCGCGGCTCTTAAATACTGGGGGTTTTTTTTATAAAATACAAAAACAAAATAGTGGTTTATACAGTGCGTTTTTTCTATCGATTTATTTGCGTTATCTGTTATTTTTTTTATTTGAAATTTAGTGTTTTGTTAGCTGATTGCGTATCGAACAACCCTTGCAATCAGCCAGCGTACCCCGGAGTCTGCATATCTCTGGTGCGGAATTAGGCATGGTCGTAGTCCATCCATAATGTTGCATACTAAATCTCTATCGAACGATTCTTACAGGAAGACAAAGTCTCCATGTTCTAAAGTAGATGCAGGGCTTGATAATACCAGTATATATAAATGTACAGAATTTTTATAAACTATACCATAAAAACACTTCGGATATATCAACATGTCAACGGAGAAATCTTATTCATTTATTGACGTGTTTGTGGATTATCTAAAAACTATGCTATTACTATATATAGCAAAATTATCAAATCCTATTTCCGGGTCCTTAAATATATAATTTCCAAATGCAACAAACCTTGTCTCAATTATTTAATCTACGTATTTTATAGCAGGATGCATATGTTAATATTTGACGGTTATACAATCCCTTATTCGTTGGTGTTGACAAAGGTAGCCCATACCATCAAAGTTATAGGGTGGGGTGAGGTGAGAGAAAGAGAAATAAAATTTACGATAATGCTTAACTTAACGATTATAAAACCAAAAGTTAATTCCTGGGGCCATGATCGGACTGATATTCGGTACAGGAATGAGGAAAAAGAAAAGAGTTATTTATGGTTGAGAGATATATTTATATATGTACCAATAATGTTACAGTTTCGTATTTACGCAGATACGCGAAGGTTTACGAAATCGGTTTTAATTCTGTAAATCAACTATATCAATAAATCAACATATCAATATGCAGCCATACCACAAGATGGAAAGTAGAATGAAAGCAGTATTAGTATTAAAGTTAAAGACTATACAACTAAATATTTTGATTATAAAACGTCTAATAAGAATGTAAACCTGTAAATTAATTATTCGTTATCTATCAAGCTGTGATATGAGGCGTTTGATATTGATTGCAATAGTGGGATCAATCTACTTGACCATATGTAAATTAAAATCTTGGCGCATTATGCCTCGGCAACTTAAATTCGACGTTTTTATAATTAAAGCCGTATTCTCCACAGAGCAACCACTTGAGTAATTAATTCTTCTTGCGAGAGAGAAGGAAATAAAGAAGGAAGGTATTACGTCAAGTGCGACCCAGGCTCAAAATAGAACGCAACCCGAGACTTCGATTGTCGAATTACGTCCGAACCTTAATATTTTAATGTCAATTATTAGAGTTCACTGACACGAAGCAATATTGTGGTCATATTTACATATAATTTACGCATCGAAACATTATGTTGCGATATGCAATAATCAAAAATTTTCTGGGCGCGCGTGTGAAGAATCAAAATATTATATCTGATTTTTCGGGTAACTGTTGACATCATTATTTCATAACCCTCATTATTTATAGTTCTTGACCAACGTCTATTCTCAAAATCTTTGTGCTGGCACACACATTTTAATTTAAATATACGACGTATTATTGTTTCTGTTCATATGCTACTATGTGAACGAATCGTCTTGACATTTACAATGCATGGGATATTTATATATTTACAGTACATCACGAAAAAGGAAATTGTTAGGAGTAGCCATTCTTCAACATAATAAATAAATTCTTCGGTCTGTTGTATTGACGTTCAAGCAATGGTTGATTTTCAGGTAATAATATCATTAATATTGATTTCGCTGTTACGAAGCTTCAACACAAAAATTAATAATTACTATTATAAAGATATCTGCGTCTCGCAATCGGGCTAACCCGTCGCCCTTATGATATCACTCGATTACTTTAAAATTCTCTACTAAAGATCTTTCATACTTTATCCATGTCCTTTAAATACTACGCATGATCCGTCTATGCTGTTGGAAGTTCGTCTTCCGTAAATGATCCAATAATCACCCACACGTTTCTAACTCGATAAGTACTGGCGACATGTAATGTTTCGAAATAGGAAGTAGCTTGCAATCTTACAATTCTCCGTGGCGTCCAAATGGACGAATCCTCACTTCCAGTGATAAACTGTTATATTTGATATCTTTCTCAAAGTCCTAATGCAGCAGATCAATTGCGGCTTTCGTCTCGGGCTGTTGTTCTTCTCTACTCTCTCCTCTTCACTCGTTGTCTCCGTCAGCAGGTAATACATCGGGTTCTCTGACGTCTTTGGAATACATTTTCCTACTCGTTGCCATCTCCAACAACTCTAATTCTGCTGGATGTCGATCGAGGACAGAGTGTTTGGGACCATGTGGTAGCGAGTCTGGATCTCTGGTGGTCGGTTTCACTAACCAGACTATGGAGGAGGCAAGGAAAAGGTTAGATATATGTGTATGTGAACAAACGAAACGTTGTGTGAAAAAAACAATAATAACTATAAGGATGGCACTCACCTTCGATTTCCTCAATCTCGAAAAACTCTTCTCCACTCAAACACACGCTTCCATACGTAGTCGACACTGGCCCGGCCCTACTCTCTCCCCTAATTAAACCTTCCTCTATCCACAATGCAGGATACTCTAGCTGTCCACCCATTCCCAATCCATTTCTCAGCGTTTCTGTCCCTGAATTCAGATATTGATAGTGGTCATTGTACCGACTTGATTTGTAAATTCTCAACTTTGGTCGGATACTAAATAAAAACGCCTCGTTCGAACCGTAAAACTTTGGAGCCAGTTCCCAGTCAGAATACGCGAATCCACCAAAAATGTATTTAGAAGACTTTAATATCAAGAGTGTACTACCGACATAAAGGATGGAGGAAAGAAAAGACGTCCATGATTTACCGTCGATTATAGAAGAAAAAAGAAGTTGGTGGGGTGTGGTAACGCAATCAGGAGGAAGATGTTGGCAGACACAAAAGTAGTCTGACGGTGTAAGAAGATTGGAAAAAGCAGGGTAAGGAAAGGGACTCGAGATTCTTGGACGTATAAGCATTGATTGCTGCAAGCGTACTAATTGAAGAGAAGACGATGATACGCTTGCTTGTGAATCCGGCAATAGCAGCTTTTCTATAGGTGGCATTAAAAACAGCCGAGCCATGGCGATAATTGTTAATTTTTGAAATGGCAGATTATTGCTATACCATTCTGTGTACTTGTCCAAAGAGAAATACCCATCGTATGAACACTCTTTCAAGAAATTGCTCTGTGCGTTTTCGTCTTCTACTTCGCCTTGTTTTAATAAAGACTGTACGAGAAGGTACTCTACTAATGCTTCATTTCGATCGCCCGTTACTTCACTGCTGCCACAACCTTTCTTATTGCCATGATGATTCTTAGTCTCATTCCTCTTATCATCTGCAACCTTCTTTCCACTCTCTTTATGACCTCCTCTATCGAACCAAAGTTCAACTCCAAGCTTGACAACATCTGCAACAAAGTCTCCAAGGTTTCTCGCACATTCCAGTTGACTGACGATATATGTAGCCTCTGCTTGATCCACGATACTCTGTTTTGTCAGTTTGCGAATCGATGAATAGAACCCCACGCGAGAAATAGTGTATTCAGATATTGGAGTCAAAAGCAGTTTCTCGAGCTTGCTGCTAGGTATGGACAAAGGGGGTGACGAAGAATGTAGAGTAGAGAGATGAAAAAGGAGAATCAGACCGCGCAGAAGAGATGAGGGAAGGATGCATGGGAGATGGGACTGAAATTTTCGAATTAAACAAGACGCAGATGTATAGAGATGTAAAAAGAGAATACATACAATCATTAGTAAGCTGGGGATCATCAATACGAAACGCATTGGTTACGTTAGGGAACGGAATGGCTTATACCACATTTCTGATCCAGAAAAACTAAGCAATTCTCGTCTTTTCCTCGCGTTGAATTACTGACCTTGACACTCCCACCTGACACAATATCTTTTCCTTTTGCGCCTTGCCTCTGATCATTCATTTCCTCGGACAACCATTCGTTAAAGATCTGATCCAACATTGCCCGTTCGTCGGCGGTGAAATCGGCAAGGATTTCATTCGTGCGCTCTACGGCAGCTTTGCTTGACTCGTTTCCCATGAGTTGAGAGTGTTTTACGTGGAGAGGCAGTTAAAAGTCGCGCATGCAGAGTAAGGGTCATAAGAAATTAGAATGTAGGGGCGCATATCGATTCGAAAGTGGGATAGTTTACACTTGACTGTCACGACGTAATGCTGTAATGTCACATTCAGCTTATCCTGATTTGTAATTTCGGGAGGTGAGGGGTGAGGGGGGTGTGAGGTTTAAGCATGAACCAATGGTTTATTAAAGTATTTGTTCGCCTTAGTATCAATTAACAACGATGCATTAGCAGTAGCCAAACTTTAGCAAGACTGCGTCTCTCTTCATGTTGCGTTTAATGCAACCACGATAAATATCGTTAATGTTGAGGTTTATAATAAATCAGTTGTTCTAGTTGCTGGAGTTGCTGGAGTTGCTGGAGTTGCTGGATTGGCTTAATACAAACGAATTACGTTGAGACAGACATAGCAAGTTGACATATGTAATGCGCTTATATACATTCTTATTCGCAACATTGTATACATTAAAGAGAGAGAGAGGAGAGTATGAACGTGTAGATACGTACGTAAATTACTGAAAGGGATATTAAACCTTTAGAAGATTAATTATTACGTAAATTAACGTAAACTGAAACCGTCAGGAATAAAATATATTTTTACAGTTTGCAAAAATTTGGGGTTTAAACTGCTTAAAAGCACACGGTAAAAAGTTGATGCATAATATTAATTGCTTATGTTTCAATGACGTTTAGATTTGGCAAGTGAACAAGTTATAACTTGATAAAAAACTGTAGGCCATATGTCAGACTTTTTTTGACTAAGAAAATTAATTTTCCAGTACTAAGTAAAACTATTTACAATAACAAATGTTACCTTATTTGCAACAATTAGAGCTATTGAATCAAAATTTTTATTATACGGCGCCCTTGACCAAACAAAGACTTACTTTTCTGCATAAAAGTTAAATACCAAAAACATGTTGAAAATTTTTGTGAAATTTATCACCTCTTTATTACAAGTAGATTTGTTATTGTGAACAACATTAATTACTGCCAAAAGTTTAACTAAAATCTTTGTGAAAATTGTAATTAGTAAGACCGCCATTATTATTTTCCGGGACTGTATATGCGTTGACAAATATCCCGGAAGAGTCGTTAATTTCATGGGATTTGCAGATGTCGTAAAGGGTGATAGTGGCCCATAAACTGAAAACCGGCATACATATGAGCTAAGAGAGCTGTATAATATTCCGTTTACAAACGTGCATCTAAGGCAACCGGGCGCTTGAAAACTTTTTATAGTCACCAGTATGCAATAAAGCTACGGTTATCAATAAAAGAATTTCGAGCTAAAGAATAGTTATGAAACATATATTGCGGTTCTGAAAGTACAGTAAACGTATAGCGTTAACTAACAAAACGCGTACCTTGCTAGACTTACATAAAATGTGCTCTGTCCTTGAACAAAGTTTGAGAACATGCTAATTTTATGTTCGTCAAAGAAACAAGAGTCGACGTTTTAACGCTATTGCGGATTCAACAAAAAGATTCGCAATGTAAGCAAAATTGTTCTATACCGCATTTTTTAAATGTATGATGCAGCATGAAATATTATTTATGGAAAATTAAATAGCAAAACTTACATAATAAACACACTCACTTAGCTCTTTGCTTATTTCTATATTTGGCTTCTTAACGTCAGTTGTATTATACTTTGATAATTTTCGAATGGATTAAAGGCGACGAAAGAAGACAAATGTGAAAAGTTTAACGGCATGTGAAAGACTAATACTGTTTTTTGAATATCTGGAGTTTGCCGAATACAACAAATCTTCGCGTATCCATACAATAAATTCTGTAGTATGCTCATGGTCGTTTCCTATACCATTAAAAATAATAATCCTTGCACTAAATGTAATAGATACTTTAAACGTAAAAATAAATCCATGTTTAAACAGACAGTGCTGTAACTTTATATATATAATTTATTATACATAGCAATGGCAAAAACTATGGGTTTGTTTGTATTTAAAATGCATAGATTTAATATGTCATTAGGGGGATTGTTATATTAGTGATGATTTATTATCAAGCAGAGCATACAAAACGCAATTCCATTAATGAGTACGTGGTGTTATGTAATACAGCTTTCGTGGTGCATCATGAATCAAACAATCGAATATATAGCAGCAAGCAATGTATTAGTTAGAACAACAGAAAATCTGCTATGCAGGGCACCGCTTTGTTAAACGTACTAATAAACAAACTCCACTTTGTACTTTTAGAGTACTGCCAAATGACAATATGGCCACACGCGGTTCATAATTATAACAAGCGTACAGCAAAATTTAGCGTAGAGTTGATGATAAGCAGATGAATGGCAGTATCACAATGTATTCAATGGCGTACTTGGAAATGTAATAAGAGAATGTATTATCAGTATAAAAGTATTGCCAAAAATATACAATCTATATTTTTAAAATGACAAATTGTAATTTCAGTGCACCGAATGTTTAAACAGCTATTCAATAATAAGTAATAATTATTTTAATATTGACCGGCTGATATATGACTCGCAAAAAGTTACTGTTTGCTCGAAAATTCCATGCTGCAGATGTGTTTGGACGGCCCTTTCGCATGCGTGTGTACCGAGAGGTTTATTTTAAGGTAAGCCGGAGTGATTCAGATCCCAGCTTATCTTTTTGTAACAATTTAACTAAAGAATTCTAGTTGCGCGTTTAAATAATACACGAAAGGTTACAGCAGCTAATTTTCGAGAGGCCAAATCCCGGACGTATTGCGATTATTGTTTGACATGCTTTTTTCGTCATGTTTGACAGTTGTGGGTTGGATCTATCTTCACCGGCATTGGTTTTCTTCATTTTTATTGATTCGGTTTCGGATGAGAGTTGTGGTTTTATTGTTGGGAGCTGGACTTACTGCGATACTTTGGACAATAGTAGCTCGACGGGAGGAATTGTAGTACTTGTGTGTGGTATTTTAGGTATAACGAAAGTCGAATTTTGCGACGTTTGTTTTCGGTTGAATGGATACTGCAGCGTAAATGTTTGCTATTAGTAGTTTTTGATATATTGGGAGGTACTCGCGTCAAAAAACGCAGCCGTTTCTGTTATATTCGGGTACAGCAACCGTACTGATTGCTGTCACGTGGGAAAAATCATGATGGTTTTGGGACGATATTAGATCGAGGTGTGGCTTGATAGTTGATGATTTCCCCAAATTGGATACAAACCGTGTGCTTGTAAATAAGTATCGATACCATAATTATGATCATTTACATCAGGTGGTAACTGTTGCAAATCGGTGAAATATTATTTGTTGTTTATCAATAGTTGTGCACTATTTCTTAGCCACAGAGTTAGTATGCTTCGGATCGTTGTCCCGTTGAAAGTGCCGTATATCATGTCTCCGTCAATACAGTTGGATTAAGATGTAGTTTGTATACGTAATCAACTCAATATAAGCCGCGGGTTTCTTTCAGTTTTCAGATCATGGTACTTTTCCAAATATCCAATATGCAAAGATACAATCTTCTTAGAACGCGATTTAAATCTCCCCAAAGTCTTTCGATGCTCGACTATAATGCAATGATGAAAGACGGGAGCCCGTGAGAAAGCCGAAATAGCGTTTGGATAGGATAAATGCACGGCGATAACGGATTACCCGAGTGATGAAATAACATTGACGAAGGGCGCTTGTACGGTGGGCATGGTGGATATGTGTATAGATATAAAGAAATAATGAATAGAAGATAGTTAGGTAGAAATACTGTAAGCATTAGAAAAACGCGATGTGGATGCATGAACAGTAAGCCATCTTGTTTCATGTGTTTGTCATAAGAACGATTGTTAATCTTTACTCATAACAAGGTGACACACTTACGTGTATTTTTTACTCGCACGTATTAAATTGTTACTGCATACAATGTGATACATACTAACTTTTTATTCGCTAATCTACTACAAGAATGACAGCGACAGATTGCGTTGAATCAAAGTAGAAGATAGACAAAGGGTTTATGTTCATACGTAAAAATTAACGGTAATATAATTTCGTTCCGTTTCTATAAAAAAATTTAATTAATTATTGTCATCATTGAAATTGTCACTGTACACGATCGACCATAATAATTTGAAATTAGATGCCTGTATTCTTTTAAGCCTTGTCATTGACGTTTAGACATTGGTTACAATTCTTCTAGTTTAAAAAGGTGATAATAAATTGCATCCGACTATCAGCTTCTGAATTGCCAGTATAGTATTATGTATGCTTACTATAGTGTATTTTTATTACGTAATTACAATTTACAGGTAACGAAAAATGTGAACCAATTTTAAGTAAAATTCAGGCGTTAATTTTAAACAAAACTTGTTGGAAGAAATATCGGACACAAAAGTTAGGTTGTGCTAACCGGAAACATATAGATAGAAAAAAAAAGGTAAATGAGATTTAACGCGCTGCTGCAATGCTTTATTGTGTGTACAGTGGTAATACTCAACGTGAGAGTGGTTGCTGAAGATAAAGGTTAGGTTTGACAGTAATTTTCGAACATATAGATAAACTTCTCTTTATTTCTTTGACTTGAAGTACAATTCAAATAGAAAATATATAATACAATTTATTTATTTTGTTCTTAATTAATTACTTAGATTCTTTCTTTACTGACTAATAAACTTCTACTTGCAATTTCTGAGATATTCATATAAATAATAAATATTAGTTTTAAACAACTTTTTCCTATTAACTATATTGTAATATTGGTCTCTTCCTACAATTGAGTTGATCTTCAAGATTCCCTAGGAAATCAGGTAGCGGATTCTGCAAGAAAATGAATAATTTAATATGTTTATTTATTAATAGGTTATATCAAGTCTTTTCTTGACTTATGCCATGCCAAGTGGTAGCATTTTCAAACGAAGTTTTGGCTTACTAAATAAAGTAATTTTAATTTCAGAATACAATTATAAAAAATATACAAGAGAAGTAGAGCTTTTAACAATACGTGGTATAAATTTTATTTAGTGATAGTAAATTCTGAATAGACATCCTGAACATTTTGGATTTACACTTTTATCTGACTATTATACTGACAGTCTAATTTTCACAATTTACAATAAATTAGAACCCACCTAAAATTCTTTTTATCTCATAATACTGCAATAATGGTAATAATTTACTAGCTGTTAACATCTTGTCACTAAATTTGTTTCAATTTTTTGCTTGGATATAGTTTATTTAATTCTTGAACCTTACGTTTCAACTTAGATCTATCATCATACTCTAAAACATAAACCTTATTTTGTGCCTTAATGTATCCCTGTTCAGCTGACTTTCGCTATAGCACAATTGCTTTCTGTTCATCTTTTTCAACCCCAACTCCATTTTCATAACAATAACCAAGGTTATATTGTCCATATGCATGCAATCGTTTTTAGTTTATATAAACTAGCTTCGATACATCTGATAATTTCCTGAAATCATAAGGCCATTACCATTGTATGTAGCTTCATCTCCGGTTGAAAGTTGGTTTATTATTATATGCTTTACCTGCAATGTGGACTTTGATTGTTAGCAAACAAAATAAAAAACCATCAAGCATGAACTGAACTATGCAGTTTATGACTGCTCAGATAAGCTCTTGACATTCCAGATTACCAAAAGACTTGCTTTTCATTCTTTCTTATAAGATGCAAGTTCAGAAATTCTTCTTTACCTGGGTCTAACTCTTGTTGAAATTCAGTTTTGTTCAGTAAAATCTACCATGCAATGATAAATATCACCATATTATTGTCAATACATAAAATAACATGCATTAGTAATCTTTTCCTTCATTTCAAAACTATCAACCTCTACAAGAGTGAGATCTTTTACAGATTCATTGCTTGCCACCACTGAAGTTTCTGATTGATATGATATTCTTGGTTGAATCCAGTCTCTCATTATCAATGCTGCATCCTAATATATATAATAACGTATAATATTAGCCTGATGCTGTCTTGCTATCGGATCCACCCTAAGGGACTATAATATATGTCTTGGTACCAAACTTTTCTGCAATTACAATGTAATACCCTGAGGGATGAGCATACTACAACAATAAGCCTGCTGAGATTGGACTGCCCAAAATTAAAGAGTTTTTGAGAAAAGTTTTTTTGCTCATTCTCCTCACTTTCCCTTTATATATATGTCTTAAACCACGAGAGATCTTGCCTTAATTGGAGCATGCCTCTTATGACGTCTTGTGTGACTCACATTGCTTGTGAATTTTGGTTCAAGAACCTACTTTGATATTGCAATGTCAGCCCGTTTGGGTACTAATAATCACAAAGAGAATAGATGAGTAACCATATCATCATAGTCAAGGACCAATGAAGAACGTTCACAACAGGCGCGTCCACCAAAGTCAGGGCCGGGGTTCTGACGGGTAAACGTCGCATGCTGTGGCCACGATGCGCTTTCAATTCAGTGGTCCATGTATCCTATTCACCACAAGCCCGAGCGTTATAAGCTACAGTCGGCGTTTCGGAACGGATTACGAACGTTCACAACAAGTAGATTATTTACATCAATCAGGCCCCCG